AAAGTGGTCCTGACCACCCCTCCTTCGGTAGCACCCGGAACAGCACCCCAGAACAACCGAAACGGAAAGCACCTGCTCGCAAGAAAAGGTGACGCTCCCGGGACGGTTCGCTTCTGAGGGGGAGGGATGTAGCAAGCTACATTTACCTTAGAATATCTTTAAGCTATTAAAGCTTAATCACAGTAACGGTACGGTCCCGTATTTACGAACCATACTCGTTAACTGTACAAACTCACTTTCTGGTACGCTATCACAACCTAGCGTACGACACCAAGACTCCAGGAATGGAGATGGCGGCAGGTGGGCCGCATTTAAGCCACCCAGGTGAAGTGCTTCGGCCAGACACTTAACGTATCACTATACTAGTGTTCAGGGTTCAAGACCTTGCTGTCACCGTTCTCGACGTATGTCTTCGAATCCCGACTTCCCTTGTCTCTTCTCACGCCTAACGCTGGGTCGCCAATCGTGGACGAGACCCTCTGCTTCCGCTAAAACAGCTAAGGTAAGAGACGGCTGTTACAGGAGAGGGTCATAGTTGAGTTCAGCTTGCGGGTGCCAGGCAGGGCTCAAGTGTATATATTAGCTGGCCGCTGGAAAAGCGGCTCTCGTTTAAGCTCGAGGTGCTGGCAAAGTGCTTCAGCACCATGTGTGCCGCATTGTACGACAGCAACTACAGCCGCTTGTGGCAAAAATCTTGTATGGCAACATGGCGAATAGTCCCTTGGCCATCCACGATTGCAACTTCATGACGGTCATCATGACAGGATGTTCACGAAATCCGCTTTTGCTGAAGCATGCCAAGACATGCACACGTGCCTTTTGCTTGCGGTCCTCCTGCCGCCGACACACCCTCAAGCAATCAATCGACTGTACACTACAGCACAGCTGCTGCCTGCTGCACGCTTTCAACAGGTCCGCCCCCAAATGGTTGTACGTGTTCAAGGAAGAGGACGGCAACACGCGTCAGGAGCAGCAGCACACGCCTCTGGACGCCGTCCGTGGCCCCTCTGCCCAAATACATGTGGTCACTAGGGCAAAGGGTGACTAGCGTTAGGTCGTGTTATCTTGTGTTGCGTCCCGTTTCATAACGTTAGATGCGTATATGCTTGCGTTTCGTAACGCAGAGCTAATGCACGATGGCTGTGGCAAAGCTGAAAATGGGCCCTTTTGACAGAACATTCAGGAACATTAATTACGGAATGAGTATTTATACTTAAGAGGGTTTATTGAGACTAGATTTGCGCTTATTTGGTTGACTTTAACAATTGATCAGTGCGAAAGGCTTAAACAACAAGCACACACAATTAGCAAGTTAATCCACATGCGCATGCATGTATTTTCAGTGTGCACCCGATTATGGGCAGAACACACATGAACCGCACACAAGGCGATGAAGATATATGCATTGAGCTTTGGTATGTACCATGGTTAACACATCCTCAAGCATAACCGGAGGTACAGAATGTAGCAAAGAAGCACTTGTTTATCCAGGTTTATCATACAATACGCAATCCAAATTGCATGTGACTACATGCTTTCCTGTGAAACTGTATTACCTATCGGCACCACATTAAAAGCCCCGAACGATTGGGCGACACATACGTCTGCTGTCTCGCCGTCCAGCTACAGTCCAAGACCAAACAACCCCGTGGCGGTCTGCTAAGTGCGGCACGAATACATGTTTAGTGACTGCAGGAGGCCGCTCGCGTGGGATGCCCGCTTGTCGAGGCGGCATGCCGAACTGAAGGCTGCTCAGCTGCATGCAGCTAGCGGCCGCCAATGGCGGGGAACTTAGGACAAAAGCCGCTGCGGCGGTCGGCCACAAATGCGTGTTTAGCGACTGTAGGAGGCCGATCGCTTAGGAAGCCACTGAACTGCAGCTGCATGTATAGAACGGCCGCCAATGGCGGCACATCGAGGAGAAAGCCGCTGCTGCAGTCCGCTACATGCGGCTCGGAGGCTGTTCTGGCAGCTGCAGCAGGCAGCTCGCACCTTAAGACTGCTGCATCTGGATGACGGCGGCAATGGTGCGGTTGGTACCGGCCAGTGAATAGTGGCGACCAGTGAAGTACAGCAAGGAAGGCATAACATCAAAACGATGCCAGCCCAATGGCATACTCCAGGCCGGTTCCGGCCCGGTTCCGACCTAACGGGTCCAGTTAACGAGATGGGTAACCGGTCGGTAGGATTACCGGGCGAACCGTTATCCGTTAACCGTCCCCAGTAATCGGTAACCGATGTCGGTAACCTGGCATGAGCAAAAATGCATTTCTGATTGTACCAGTTTCTTTGTGACAATGCCCATTGTCACAAGGTTCATGCCCACGTGTCACACCCCGACAAGCTTGAGGAGGTTAAGGCAATGTGAATGCCGGGTGACAGGGGTGACAGTCTTGTGCAGGCACATTTGGAGACTAGTTTACACTGAGATTGGGGTGATGTTGGATTAGAATACTTGCAGTTCATGAAATTGAAGAAATGTGTTGCATAGGCATATCCAAACGTTTCAGAGGGACGTTGTTTCGCCCGTAACAAACTTGTTACGGGCGAAACAAACTGGATTTCCACAGTCCCACCACTCAAAGAGCTCCCCACACCATCGCAAAGTCCCTTTTTTATTACAGACACATGTAACAAGTTGTCATAGCTTGAGATTGTCGATATATGACTGCTGGATTGTGACCAGGCCATCTCCTTACATGTCTTGCTGCACCAGCATGAGCAGTGATCCCTTCTGTTCAAAATTTTCAGGCAACATCGCAATGAGGCAAAACATTGTGCCGAATCTGCCGTACAAAGAGTGTTCAAAGCTTCACGCTACTAACGGACGAATACATAAGCATTCATTTACTTTGAAAGAATAAAGGAATTCTATAGCTTCATACAAATTCGCCTATCAGCAACTCTCCCTGGTCGTTCAAAAGTTGCTTGAAGATTCTACCATCTCCATACTATGAAGGAGCGCTTCTTCATTTCTTCATTTTATCTGAACCTTAACGTATCCTTCCAACACAATGTCCATGGACAACGGTAATGAGGTCGGCGCCTACGAGTTTGACCGGAACGCCCTGGACAACATCGCCCGTCGGCGACAAGATCGCCCACGCAAGAAATACAGCCAGCATCGTCCAGTGGATGAGTTTGGAGTACATAAGTTTGCCAGGGCAAACAATCTAAGTCAATTTGCTCTGGTCGTCTCAAAAGTTTGTCCTAGCATAGCTTGCGTAGCTAGTATTGCCTGGTTTTAGTCGTTGCATGTAAGCTTGTGAGTTGGTGGCCTGGTTCATGCTTATGGGCGACAATTGAAATGCCGGGACAATGACTGATTAGGGACAATGACACGGCATTTCACGCCCTCAAAGCGGGAACAAACGCTAAAACTAAATACATACATAGTTCTAAATCTTCTACTAAAATTTTCCTGCAGCGTTAGAGGCCTTTAATTAATATTGGCGAACGATGCTTCCCGCGCTA